CCTTCCCCGCGTGGGGCCAGCCTGCCTTCCTGAGGACGGGGAGCCGCTCCCGGGCGTGAGCCAGCGCTGTCATCTCCGCGGCTGCTGTCCCTCCCGCCTTCCCGGCGCGATGACAACCCCGGCTCTGCTGCCTCTTTCTGGGCGCCGGATCCCGCCTCGCAACTTGGGTCCGTCCTCCTCCTTCCCTCACCACAGGGCTACCTTGAGACTGTCCGAGAAGTTCATCCTGCTGCTGATTCTCAGTGCCTTCATCACATTGTGTTTTGGGGCATTCTTCTTTTTGCCGGACTCCTCGAAACACAAACGGTTCGACCTGGGCTTGGAAGATGTCTTGATTCCTCACGTGGATACCAGCGACGGTGGGAAAAACGCAGGTGGCTTCTTGATCCATGGGCAGGGCCACGACCAGCACAGGCACAGGTAACTGTTGCCCTCAGTGTGAGATATGCAGTATATTTCTTTCTGGGGAAATAAATGTCTGTGTGTAGTGAAATGTAGTGTTTTCCTGAAGAATCATGGTGTGCTGCTGGGTTTCTGTCTTGGCCAGAAGGTTGCCTAGGGTTGTCCAGAAGGAGCAGCCCTTGGTTTGTTGTCATAGACTTGATGTTTGAAATACCGCAGTTTTATCCCATTTTCCCACCTCTAACTGTGACTCTTCTCTTTCAAGGTAAGTCACAATTTTGGCATTCTACAGACTGGACACTACTAATCAAGGGCTGCAATACAGGAAAAGCCCACAAAAGAGAAGACAGGTGTCTTCTTTTCTGGGACACGTCTGAAAGTTTGGGAGTGTAAAAGCTTTAGATAGTGGTACAGTAGTCTGTTGCCCTTGCTGATTTGACACGAGGACCCAAGTAGAAAATGATACAGTATCAGTGAACTCTTGCTATATCTGGAGTGTAATTGGGTTTTTGAACAAAGAGTTGAGTCAACCCTGAAATAAATAATACTTAAAGGCATCAACTTGTGTGGCCACAATTTATAAATATTTATCCTGCCTTTCATATAGATTCAAAGCCAGTTATTAGCAGGCTTGTAACATATTAAGAATCTTAGCAAATGGAATTGGGAAGTTTTAAAGCTTCTTTGCAGTGCTCAAAGTGGATGCAGCAGGATGAAAGACTAGCAAAACCAAAACAGCAATATTACCAATGTGATAATAAGATCTGAACTTAGTTTGATTGTTTATGTATACTTTTATCAGTTTCTCTTTTTAAAGATGTATGAAACAGTGGTAAGAATGAAAGATAATTAATTCAGCTTATTTCAGGAAAAAAGGTAAGAGAGCAGGCATAATTGGGAGATTGTGTTTATGTAGTTCAGTTACTTGTTTAATACAAATTAGAACAACATTTGAAAAGAATCATATTCAGTTTTATTCAACATTAAAGGAGCACCTTAATTTTACAAATCTAACTTTAGATAACAAAGAATATTATATGTAAAGCACCTGAACTCTCCAAAAATGAATACATTTTATTTATTTGCATCCTGCTTTTTTGTCTAAGAGTTCATGGAAGCATATGTAGTGTTCCCTCCTCAATTTTTCCAATAACAACAATAACCCTGTGAGGTAGTTTGGGCTGACAGAAAGTGACTTGGCCAAAGTGAACTCCCAAGACTGAGAATGGATTTGAATCTGGGTCTTTCTGGTCTCTGTCCAGCACCTTTACAATTGCATTACATTGGCTCCATTGGAACTCTTAATAGTAAAAGAGCTGGTTGAGACTCTTAGCAACAGAATGGGGAGAAAGATGATGGGCAGCGATTCTCTCTTTCTCTGCCTCCCTCCACCCATTCTGCTCTGAAGAGATGAGGAACAGTTTGGAAGTGGAGGGAAAATGACCATGAAACACCTCCTCCCAATTCCACTGTCAGAAGTCTGGAGGAACAGCAGTTGGATGCAACCTTAGTTTTCAAAGATTTGAATATATAGGCACACTACGTTATAATGTAATAGTTTTATGTTCATAGGAAAAAAAGTGTTGGAAAATGTTTTATCTCATGTTCATAGAGTGTTCTTGTTTACTTTCCTGTTTTCATTTAATTTAACAAAGCAAAATAATGTGGAAATTTTATATATATTTATTATAT